ACGCGTCCCTGAAGCTCTCCTGGCGGCTCTTCCCCCTCAGGTACTCACCCTGCAAACTTCCGCTGGCGTGGCCCCTTCCGACTCCCAGCTCTGTCTCTTCCGGAGTTGACAGAGATCCCCTGCTCTGCCTGGATACCCCTGCGTGTCCCGCAGCCCCGGCCCGGCCCCAGGCAGTGAGCTGGAGCAGCCCTTGGGCTCGGCTAGTGTGCCTCCCTTCTCCCAGGGACCACAGCCCTTGGTTGTTTCAATGTTAAAAACAGAACTGCTAGACTTCTTGGGAGAAAAATCCACGCTGGGACCCACGGGACTTTGGACTCATCTTACTAACAAAGTCCCTGTGCCGAAGCGTCTTTGCCTTCCTTGGGAGAAGACCGGTGGTCTCTGTGGAACAGGTCTTGATGACCCTTGACATTCCTTGTCACCCCCTTTATGTGTGGCACTTGCATGGTTGAAATTGGCTGGGCATCAGCAACTCATGGGACTGCAAAGCTGCTTTGAGTGCAGAGAGCTCCTGGGAGGGCCTCACTCATAGCCGATTTAACAGCTGCATGTTGCTGTTCCCGGTAAGCTCCGGGCGTCAGAAGGAAAAATAGAACAGTGAGATATTTAAATGATGAGCTGTTCAGAGATCAGTCTAGAAATACTTCCTTTCCTACTTCTGTTCCTTTACTTATTCTTGGTTTATGTGTCAAGGAGTAGTCCATTTCCTGCTAATACTTGTGCCAAGTACTCCTAAGATACATTACTACAAGGGATCCTACTGGCTGTTGACAATAGAGACTGGTTTTGTGTGTGTGTGTGTGTGCTGTGGTGACTTTTATTACGAAAAATTTCAAACCCTCAGTAAAAAAAATGGATTTTGAATACTTACATGTCTGCCACATAGATTTAATAGTTGTTTCCACTTTGGTTCTTCCTTTTTTTTTTTTTCCCTTTCTTTTTGCTCACGTATTTCAAAGTGAACCACAGACACAGTAACATTGCACACCTCAAGTACTACAGTATGAATTTCTGAAAAATAGGGACATTTTCCTACACACCATAGTATAAGTAGCCCACTTGCAAAATTTCTCTTCCTTTCGGACATAGCAAATTCTGATGGAAATTACTGGTAAGGTGAGCACTCCATCCTTTCTTTAAGTACGTAGGGTCTTAAAGGAATGGGGGAAAGGAGCAGGGTCGCGATTGGAGGCCATGATTGTTGGCACGTGCTGTCGTGGGCACTGACTCCTGGTGCCCTTTGTACAACAGACCGAGGTTGTGGGCAGAAGCAGCTTCAGCGTCTTTAAAGATTCGCACACTCTGTTCCCTCCACAGTGTCAGCCAACCCTGCTGTCATCGGAGTACAAGGACAGAAACTGTAGGTAGACTTGTTTCTTAAAAATAAAACTGAAAAAACTCACTGCCATCGAGTTGGATCTGACTATTAGCGGCCCCTCCTTGGGTTTCCAAGGCGGAATCGCTACAGAAGTAGATTGCCCAACCTTCCTTCCGAGGAGTGGCTGGCGGGTTTGAACCTCCAGCCTCTGGGTAGCAGTCACATGCCTTAGGCACTACACTACCAGAGCTCCTTTTTTCAAACTACTAAACCATAATGTCTTCCGAGAATCCGGTGAAGACTTGGCCCTTTTCAGACGCCCCTCCCCGGTGCGTCTGCACTTTGTGGCCTTGTCGACCCTCTCCCTCCCCAGTGACTTCCCCTCTTGGCTTTTGAGCCATCTTTCTCTCCTCATTTCCACGTTAGCTTTCTGTCTAGGTCTGTCTGGGAACCTTCCCCTCAGCTTTAGTCTTGTGGACATTGATTCATTCCGCCTTTGCTGATCAGCGTGATCCATCCCAGTAACCCCAAACCTGAGCTGGCAGACGGGGAGGCTTGGGGAGAGGTGTTATTCCAAACAGCCAAGAGATGGCTACAGCCCGACTCTCTACCGAGGAATGAGCCGGTAAATGAAACGCCCAGTGTCCCTACAGTGGAGTGCTGCTCACCTAGAAAGAGAAGCAGGCTTCTGATGGGGCTGGAGGCCTTGGTGCCGAGTGAAGTGAGGCTGGCGCCCAGGACACGTGTCGTGTGACCCCCAGCGCAGTAGCAGCGTAACCGGTGGGTCATTTCCTTTCTCTCGAAACGAGTTTGTCTGGTATTGGTACAGCCGTCCCAGCTCCCTTTTGGTTACCGTTTACCTGGAGTATCTTTTTCCATCCTCATACTTTCAGCCTCTTGGTGTCTTTGGATCTAAAGTGAGTCTCTTATAGCCAGCACATAGATGGATTTTTTTTTTTTTTTTTTTTTAAATCTACCAGTCTCTGCCTTTTAATTGGAAACTTTCGTTGTTTATATTTAAAGTAATTGCCAATAAGGAAGGACTAATGCCGTTCTGCTGTTTGTTTGCTGTGTGTGTTACATCTTTTTTGTTCCTCAGTTCCGCCATTACTGCTTTCTTCTGTGTTTAATTGATTGTTTCTGTGGTCCTTCAGTTTTCCTCTGTAGAGACAGCCTTCTGTGGACGTGCAGAAGAGACGAAGGGCTCCGAGCTTGTACGACGGCCTTCCAACGCATCCTCCTTGTTTTGGCCTCTGCCCTTCACCACCCAGCCTCCATAGTTGCCTGGTGCAGCCACTCCCTGACCCTTTTGAGGGTTCCGTGTGCCAGTTAGAGCCCCTCTGGCGTCGCTGCTGGCGTAGGGTCTCCCTTCTCGGGGCAGTTGTGGCCGCCCCCTTCCCTGGGTTCCCAGCTTCTAAACTGTGGTTCTTCCCCCTCGCTTCCTGCTCTCTGTCCTCATGGGGCCGAGGTGTGGTTGTGGCTGCTGTTCTCAGTCCATTCCCTGCACCTGCAGTGAGGTCCTCTGCGGCTCGTGGAGCTCGCTTCATTTGCGTTTCCCTCATCAGTGGAAGAGTCGACATCGCTTCCGAAGCTCGTTCGTGAGACTTGGTTTAGTCCACTGCCTGTTTAAGTCTTTTGCCCATTTTCGAAACCTTTTCTCCTCATTGAGCTGTGAAAATAACAAAAGGATACCGACAGTTTCTGGCTTAGCTTTTCCACGTGATGGTGTGCAACTCTGGTGGTCAGAGGCTGTTCATTTTAATATCGTTGAATGTGTTCATATTTTCCTTTGTGATTTACTTATTAACCTATCTTATTTAAGAAATCCTGCCCCCCCCTGAAATCATAAGAAGACATTCTCCTGTATTTTCATCTAAAATTGTGTCTGTTGCCTTTCACGTTTAAGCGTTGCTCTCCCTGTATTTGATTGAAAGTAGGTGTGGTGAGAGTAGGAGTCCAGTTTCATTATTTCACTAGACAGCTGATTCAACACACTCAGTTCATTGAGAAGTCCATGCTGGCAGTTTGAGCTGCAGCACCCTCTCAGCTGCCGGTCATGTTTCTGGCTGTGAGGTTTTTTCGGGGCTGTCTTCTGCTTTGCTGGTTACTTTGTCTCTCCCAGCACCTTGTCATATCATCTCAGTTTGTCTCTGGAAGAGCTGTATGCTTCTTGCTGTTTACTGTACTTTAGATCCTTTGTTTCTTTAAACAAAGTAACGAAATGGAAATGAATGCACAGTAGCAAGGACTATCAAAGCCAAAAGCTATTTCTTTGAAAAGCTTAATGAAAGAAACTAATGTTGAGATTGATCTAAGAAAGAGAACGCGGGCACACACACACACACAGACACACACAGTAGGAGCCGACAATATGAAGGTGTGAAGCATTAATAGGGCGATATTACGAACAACTTTGTGCCTCACACACAAAACTAATAAATGAGTAAATACTCGAGTCTACCGTCCTCACTTACTGATGAAGATCAACGCCTTCAGTGTGGATTACACCGCAACAAAAACAAAACAAAATCCTCACAACTGGACCGATAAGCAGCATCATGATAAATGGAGATGAGACTGACGTCAAGGATTTCATTTTACCTGGTTCCACAGTCATTGTCCCTGGAAGCCGCAGCTAAGAAATCACATGACATGCCGCACCGGGCAGGCCTTCCGCAAAAGACCCCTTTACAGTGTTCAGAAGCAAAGGCATCGCTTTGCAAACTCAGGTGCTCTTGACCTGAGCCGTGGTATCTTCAGTGGCCTCGTATGCCTGTGAGCGCTCAGCAGTGAATAAGGAAGACTGAAGAAGAGTTGAATGTTTGCACTGTGGTGTTGCAGAGAATACTGAGAATATCATGTGCTGCCAGAACGAACTAATCGTCCTGGAAGAAGTGCAGCAGGAATGCTTCTTAGAGATGAAAATGGCCTGGCTTCGTTCGTCTCTTGTACTTTGGTCGTTATCAGAGGGAACCAGTCCCTGGAGGAGGATATCTATCGTGCTTGGTAAAATAGAGGGTCAGCAAAAGGGCGGAAGACCCTTGATGACAAGATTGGATCGACAGCAGCCCCAGCAGTGGGCTCAGTCGCAGCAAAGACTGTGAGCCTGGCGCAGGACTGGGCAGGGTTCTGTTTTCTTGTGCACAGAGTCACTGTGAGTCAGAGCCAACTCGATGGCCCCTGCCACCACCACTGCCACCGTCCTCCAAAGCACTGTAGGGGAAGCCTCCGGAGAGCCTTCTCTGACTGTATTTCCCACCCCAGCCTTCTCAAAAGTCACCACTACCAAGAGTTAGAGTGCACTGTTCCTGTGCGTTTGTTTAAATTTCTGTGCACGTACCCATGTATCCTCAGAGCATTGATGCATTGAGGTGCTTGACTCAAACACTGTAAAGGTAGCACAGGCAGTGGAGGTGTTCTGCCTGCTTCTTTGCGTCTTGCTCTACTTACCATTGCAGCTTTATTATAGGAAAAGGGTCCAGACGAAGACGTAGGGGAGGTCTGGGAGGGTTTCCAGCGTGAAGTGTCCGTGTCCTAGAAGAGGAGGGCTGCTCTGCCCGGCACCTGGCCATCAGTGTTCTGCCTGCTCTGTTGTCCTCGGTCTGTTTAGGCCTAGTTCTGGCGTGTTTTTTTCTTTGTAGCGTGTGATGATTGTCCTTCTTGTGGGCCTTTGTTTGTCTAGTATGAACAGTGCTGCGGTGAGTACTCACGCATGGTCTCTGTGCTGGAGTTTCTTGCCGGTAAAGGTTTGCTTGTCACCTACAACCCATCTCCAGCTGCACTGGGGGTCCCCCAGCTGTGCCCTAAGCAGTCCACGTACACCCATCTCCAGCTGCACTGGGGGTCCCCCAGCTGCTCCCTAAGCAGTCCACGTACACCCATCTCCAGCTGCACTGGGTGTCTCCCAGCTGTGCCCTAAGCAGTCCACGTACACCCGTCTCTGTGTGCAGTGGGTGTCTCCCAGCTGTGCTCTAAGCAGTTGCTGTTTAGTTGTTTAATTTGATATTTTTTCTTTCAGTGCCTGAAGACCTGTCATTAGAAGAGAGAGAGGAGCTTGTAGACATCCGTCGAAGAAAAAAGGAACTCATTGATGACATTGAGGTAGCAGCATCTCCTTTTGCCTTTGGGTGAAATGATAACTTGAGCAGCTTCATGAAGATGTGTAAGGGTGTTGAGGGAGTGTACCTGCGAACCCACAGAGAGAGGAAACGGAAGCGTTATCCCTGTTGGTGCAGCATAGGTTGTCCATCCCGGACAGGGCCGACTCGGAGGCCCAGGTCAAGGGCATCAGTGCCCTGGAGCAGCAGTGAGGGGCTTGAGAGGGCCTTGGGGTCCAGAGCCACCAGGCAGCATGTTTCCACTGCAGCAGCCACCCACAGACATGTCCGCTCTGCACAGTGGCCCATAGGCCCCACTTTGTGTCCAGCGCCCCGAGCTCCTGGAGCAGTGCTGTGATGGTGCTGCCACTCGGACGTTGTTGGACTGAACCAAGTGCCTGCTGGGTGCCAAGGGTACAAGGACAAATAAAATCAGACGACTGCATCACAGACAGACAAGCATGAAAGTGCCCACGTCTGGGCACTCCCCTGCAGGGGGCGGGCGGGCCAGGCCCACAGGGCAGCGGGAAGAGAGCCCCAGCATCACGGTGGGAGTGTCTGGGAGCTGCAGACATCCCTGGGCGCTGGGGCTGCTTCCACACGGGACTGCCCTGGGCTGTGCCTTTGCCCCCAGCTGGTAGCAGGAGAAAGGTCGGTACCGGAGGCTCTTCTTTCAGAAGCTTCCAGACATTGTTATGCCAGGATAAATGCGGCCCCCGGGCCTGTCCCACCCAGTGCCAGGTGCTCCTGCTCTACCTTTGAGGTTTCTCGGGATGATACGGTTCCCAACAAACGTCTCGAAAGGTGACTCCTGGCTTTCTCCTGGGGCTTCCTTCCCTTGGGAAGGTCAGATGAGCCCGATGGCTGTGTGGGCGCAAGAGCACGGATTTTTTTTCAGATTAGCCCTGTTTGGAGATCAGCAGTGAGGGGACCCATTGACTCTTACTTAGTTGGAATCTCAGTCCAGTCCTGACGCTTCATTGCGGAGGCCCAGGGAGGGAGGGCCACTTGACAGAGACCCCTCAGCCTGCGAGTGGTAGGGCCCCACAGAGGGAAAGGGGGCTGTCCCGTTTGCACTTTTCTGGCTTATCTGGTCACTTAGATCGGTACCGCTCCCGCCCCCGGGCTCTGTCCATGGTACTTCCTCTCAGACACAATCTCAGAGACTGCAGTGCCCCGGGGAGCCAGGGCCGCGGGGTGCAGTGGCCCAGAGAGAAAAGGAACTGTGGGGTGCAGTGTCAGGGAGAGCTAGGGCCGTAGGGTACAGTGCCAGGGAGAAATGGGACTGTGGGGTACAGTGCCAGGGAGAGCCAGGGCCGTGGGGCGCAGTACCCTGGAGAGCCAGGGCCTTGGCAGGGTTCAACAGCCCACTGCTTCCCTTTGGCCATTTTTCTTCTCTCCCTGGTGGCCCTTCCCAATTTTGCACCCACACTCCAGCATCTGTCTGGTGCAGCCCCCTGCCTTCTGGTGGCTTGATGGGATGCTGGGCGTGTGTCTGTCCTGAGCGAAGACCATGAAGCTCTCGCTGTCTAAAGCATTGTTTTTCCCAAACCTGTGATGCCCAGCTGGCCCTCGGGAAGCCTCGTCCCGGAGGCCAGGTCTCGGAGTAGGGGAGCTGAGCTGCACTCCGCCTTTCTGTCTTCTTCCCCGACAGCGGCTGAAATACGAGATCGCGGAGGTGATGACCGAGATCGACAACCTGACGTCGGTGGAGGAGAGGTGCGTACCTGGGACACAGCTCCCAGTTACTTGGTCATTTCTCCCCACTCCATCCTCCAGCTGAGCTTGTAAACCTGTGGGGACTGCAGTGGGGTCTGGGGGTCAGAGAGGTGGCCTTGGGAGGTGGGGGAGCCTTTTGGGGTTGCCCATTCCTTGGCATCCTCGCTCCTTCCTGCTCTGTGTGGAGGACTCTGGATATCACTTCTCACCCCTACCTGTTCCGCACCGTCTCCCGTCGTAGGTGCGGGAAGCGCGCGAAGCTGTCAGCGTTGCCTCGGGTCCATTGCGGCGTAACGGGAACTGGGCTTTCGTTAGCTTTTTCTGAAGAATGGTTTCAAGTCATCAAATGCACAAGGAGCCCCAGCAGCCCGTGTCTCCTGCCAGGGCCGGGGGGGCTCCCTGGGGGCTCAGCTCTTCCTTCTCGGGGCTGTAATGGAGGAGAGCCCACTGAGGGAGGGGACCCAGCTTCACTGCCCAAGGCCGGGCCGTCTCGGGACTTCATGGGAGCATGGGAGTGACTTTCTGTTTGTTTCCAACCAACAGCAAAACTACGCAGAGGAACAAGCAGATAGCCATGGGCAGGAAGAAGTTCAACATGGACCCTAAAAAGGTCAGAGCCCGGCCCGACTTCTCTGGTACCAGCTGACGGTCGCCACTAACTCCCTTCTGCACAAAAGTGACCCTACGGCCTCAAGAAAGACTAAGAGTCAGTGTTGTAAAATTTATATCAAAATGAGGGGCTGCTGATGAGTGGGAAGGAGCTCTGGTGGCGCAGTGGGTAAGGCATTGGGCTGCTAAGCAGAAGGTTGGCAGTTCCAACCCCCCAGTCGGAGGAAGATGAAGTCATGTCCTCCTGTAAAGATCTGTGGCTGGGAAGCCCTGCGGGGTCCCTGCGGGGTCCCTGTGGGAAGCCCTGCGGGGTCCCTGGGGGGGTCCCTGGGGGGGTCCCTGTGGGAGTGTGGTTTTTTTGGAATGCGTGGGAGGAGCCCTCGTGGCCCAACAGTTAGGCGCTTGGTTGCTCACCAGAGGTTGGTGGTTCAGACCCAGCAGCAGCTCTGGGAGAAAGGCTGGTGAGACCCTCCCTACAGAGGACGGCCCAGGAAGCCCTGTGGGACGTTCTGCTCTGTCGTATGGGGTGGGCACGGACGGAGCCGAGCTGACACCAGCCGGTAACTAGTAACCCATTGCGCACCGTCGCCCCAGCTGAAGGAGCCGGCCGGGCTGCAGGTCGTGCCGTGAGCGCGGGGCTGGCTGCCGCCTCTGGTGGAGCCCCCGTCACCACCTGAACACAGTTCTCTGTCACTCAGTCCTAACTGCTGTCTCTCCCCTCAGCTGTTGTCTTTCATTGTTACTTTTAAAAGAGGGTTCTTAAATTCATTCCCCCCTGACTCTTTATTGTACTTTATTATTTTAAAAAATAATATTTTATTGTGTTTGAGGTCAAAGCTCACACAGCACACTGGTTCCCGTTGAACAGTTTCTCTGCGTGTTTGCTGAGTGACATTGATTATGCTCCACACAGTGGGTCAGCATTCCCAGAATTCCCGTTCATGTAGCTGCCCGACCCCTCCTTCCTTCATCATCTTCGCTGTAGGGTAAATGTTGGCCTTTCAGTCTCATGTGAGTGATTTTTTTTTTTAAATTGTGATTTGGGTGAAAGTTTATAGAGCAAATTAACTTTCCATATAGCAGTTCAGACACACACTGTCTCATGACATTGACTACAATTTACCCCAGTGCAGCAGCTCCCTTCCTACTTCTTCCCGATAGTTACTTCTTCCGTGTCCATCTCAGGTGGGTGATAATTTGAAGGTGCACAGTTCTTGGGTCACCCAGTCTGTCATGTGGGCCCTGGCTCTTGCAAAGGGGAGCTGGGGTTGCACTGGGCACCTGCCTTTGTCTTTGTCTTTGACGGTTAAGCACAGAAGAGGTGACAGCTCTGGCCCCAGCTGCTTGTCCCCAGTCCTTGTGGCTTGTCCTGTAGCACGCTTCAGGAGGCGTCTAGCTCTGTGGGAGAGCGTGGACTGCTGGGGCAGGTCGCAGGCATTCAGAACTCAGGGGAACCTCGTCAGTGGGCTCCCTCAGCCCCTCTAGATCTGTGAGGCCGTGTAAGTGCGCCTAGGAGCTGGTGGGCGGCACAGGCCTAGGACTGCCTGCCGGCCCCGGTGCTCCTGTGGCGGCAGAGAGTGCTGGCTGAGAGAGTCCCCAGGCCACCGGGGGGGGGGGTGTGTGTGTGCGGGGGGAGAGCAGCATTGGGGGATGCAGGGGCTTTGGAAGGGCAAGAGCAGAAAGGGCAGGGGGCCACGTGTCCCGACCTCCTCCAACCCCACAAAAGGAAGACAGAGTCACCATTGATAGCCCAAGCCCTATTCCTGCAAGGCCAGACATGCTGCCTCCCTCCAGCCCTTTCACCAACCATTCCTCCCAAAGCACCCACCACCTCTCTCCTGGGTTCAATAATTCACTGCAGTGGCCACACAGAACTCACAGATTACAGGGTTTATTGGGGAAGCACCAGGCTACAATTCAAGTTCAGGAAAAAACGCTCAGTCTCTCTCCCAGCCCACCATCTCAGCCAAGTCTCTCTCAGTCTCTCCTGCAGCAGTGCACGTCCCTTGGTGTCTCAGCAATGCGTGTCTCTTGCGTATCTTTCCCAGCAGCACATGTCTCTTTCAAGAGCGCGTGTCTCTTTCAGCAGTATGTCTTGCTCAACCAGCAGTCAGAATTCTGCCTCTAGGAGGCCTCCTTTTGAGCCCAGCAGAGTGGCCAAACTAGCCAATCACAGCATCAGAACTCGAAGCACCTGAGAGAGAGTGGGAACCTCCCAGAACATTGTTTTATGCCACTCCCAACAGAAATACTCCAGGTGGACAACTTGAGCAATCAGGAGCTCCTCAGTTGCTCATAGCAAATCTCACCTTGGAGTTTACAAAGACTTATGGGTAGAAAAGCCACGCTAAGTAATCTACTACACCGCAGCATGGTAGCCACCGGGGTACCCGGGGAGTTACATCTGCAGAGGGAAGTGGTGCTTTCCGGAAAGACCAGCCACCCAGTCTCCAATGTAAGGGAGGAAGTGGCTGCAAAAGTTAGCCGGTAGGGTGGGTCCCAGACTCCTGGGGTGAGAACCGGGCCAGGCGTCACCCCGCGTGGGGCCAGGTTCCCTGCAAGGCCTCTACCTGCGATGATCCCTTCGTCCCAGGATCCTGGGTACCTTCCCACTCCCTCTCCTCAGCCCCTTGCAAGTTGGGAAATGCAAAATACATATCTCCAACCACGGCCAGTCTCGGGGGTCCTCACCCAAGAACTCAGTGGGGGCACTGGCCTCACAGGTGCACCTCTGGCCTCTGCCAGGATTTTAGATCAAACTAAACTACCCAGCTCTGCAGCGCTCCCCTTGCTCAGGGACCCCTAAGGGGTCCCTCTGTGCCGCTCCCCCTCTCTCCCTGGTGCTCCAGCTGATGGACTAGATGCTGCTCACTTGTCTTGATGGACAAGAACATGACCACTTCCTGTTGCTTCTCCATCAGACTCGGCGTCCGTTCTCTCACCCGATGCCTGGACACGCTCTGCAGATGAGCAGAGCCTCAGCACCGTTGCCCGCAGCCCAGTCTTGTTTGCCCGGGAGCCGGCCTAGGACAGGGCGACGGCAGGCTGACGGGAGCCGGCCTAGGTCAGGGGCGACGGCAGGCTGACGGGAGCCGGCCTAGGTCGGGGGCGACGTCGGGTTGACGGGAGCCGGCCTAGGTCAGGGGCGACGGCAGGCTGACAGGAGTTCGCCTAGGTCAGGGGCAACGGGACCTGACCTAGGACAGGGGCGACGGCAGGCTGACGGGAGCTGACCTACGACAGGGGCAATGGCAGGCTGATGGGAGCTGGCCTAGGAGTGGGGCGACAGCAGGCTGATGGGTGATACCAAGGGGGGTGTACCCATTTAAGCTCCCACCAGAAGTGTGTAGGGTTAATTTGGGATTGTCAGACTCCCTGGCGTTTTTGGTAAGGTGTCTCTACCACTGCACCATCCAGGCTCCTGCAGTCAGGCGTGCACACGGTAAATGTACAGCTTGAAGAACGTTTACAGATTAATGTATCAGACCCACACCCCAAAACAAGGTGGCTATAAAAGATTCAGGGCACCTCTCTGGTGTCTCCAGGGGCATACTGCTCCCCCAGGCTATCCACTATGCTAGCACCACAATTAGTCTTTAAAGAACCAAGAAAACACAACTTCATAAAAATGGAATTGGAATTTACTCTCTGTGTCCCTCTTCCATTAAGTGTCATGGGTTCCATTCGTGTCACTGAGCCTGGCAGCTGTCCATTCCATCACTGGATTATGTGGCATCACATAAAGTACCAGAGTGTGTACTGACAGTTGGGGTCTCCCCTGCCTTTGGAAAGCCCGAATAAGGCTGCTGTGGACACTGATGGATTTAAAAAAAGAAAAAGACTCCCAGATGCAGCATCAGGTGTGGGGTCTTGGGCCCTGAGCGTTTGAGCTGGAAGAGCATCGCGGGGTTTGTAGAAACGTCCTGGTGGCAAACAGACGACAGGATCTTCTGCTCACCTGGAGCGACAGAGGAAGGAGAGTCAGGAGGAGGAGGAGGAGGACGTGGAGCGTGTGGCTGATGGCCTCCATGAGCCACTGCCTCCTCCGCAGTGAGACCAGGGCCACACAGTGCCCGGCTACCATCACTGAACATTTTGATCAAAGATTCTGTAGAAGAATCTGGATCAAAAGGGGCACAGGCTGAACTATGAGGTAATGTGAAGCCGGGAGTGTACCCAAGACCATGTATAGGGTTGGCAGACCGTGGTCCTATAAGTGTATGTGTATGTTCTGCAAGAATTCCCAGGTGTATAGTAGAGCTGACAAGTAACAAGGTTGTAGTCACTTCTTGGGCACAGCCAGCTACCCAGAAGGATTGAGTAGTTGGACCTGTGGGCTCAGGACCACGATCACAGAGGACATCAAGCTCAATTGACATAACATTATTCCACCTACTTTGGCGAGTAGCCACTGAGATCTTAAAAGCTTGCAAGCAACCATCTAGATGCAGTGATGGATCTCTCCTCATCCAGAACAAAGAAGAAGGAAGAAAACCAAAGATTCATGGAAACAATTATTCCTAGTGACTGGTACACCATGCGATCCGCAGCCTATATGACTATGAGACCAGAAGAACTAGATGGTGCCTGTCAACCACTTGGAGGGGCATCTATGCAGGAGATCCTGGATAGAGAGGGAGAACAATGTGGAACAAAACACAAAATCATTGGGGTGGGGGGAAAGGGGGACCAGTCTTGCTGGTCTGATAGTTACAACCTGGTGGAACCACTGAGGCTATGGTCCCTAGCTGCCCTTCAGCTCTAGAATTGAACCCACACCTGTGGCTTCCAGCCAAACAAAAGACAGGCATATGAGTTGAACATTTGCCTGAGGTAGATACAGTCCTTGGAGAGAACAATCATGGGAGAATAGAAGGGTTATGTGTGCACAGAGAGACATCTTCAGGGGGCAGGAGTGCATGGAGGGATGGACACAGGGAAGAGGTGACTATCAGGAGGAAGTGGGAGGGGAGCGGTTGCATTGGGGTAAATTGTAGTCAATGTCATGAGACAAAGTATATGTGAACTGCTGTATGGAAAGTGAATTTGCTCTGTAAACTTACACCCAAATCACAATTTAAAAAAAGGGGGAGGGGGAAAATACGGAACAGAATTTCAAATTTCATGGACTCCAGACTTTCTGGAGCCATGGAAGCTGAATGTACTCCTGAAGCCACTACCCTGAGATAATCTTAAAAGCTTAAACCAAAAATACCCCCTAAAGTCTTAAACGTTAGTTTAGCTTCATTGGTAACAAGCATCCTCTGACTTGAGCTTTGTGTTCTTCTAAGAACTATCTGTATGGGGTCAGAGTGCCAACAGCCACTCAGAAGACAGACAGGAACTTAGGGTGCAGTGAGTTGACATTAATGGGGAGGAACATGCAAAGCAGGGTGAGGCCGGCTGCACAACCTGTAAAATGTCATCCGTGTCACTCACCGGGACGTGAGACACTGCTGAGTGGGTGTGGGTTTGCTGTGTGTGTTCTCGGCACCAACACAATGCAGTTCTTTAAGAAAGAAGAATTCTTAATAGCCTTACCAACATGTCTGAACCAGCTCAGAGCCCTCTGAAAAAGGAAGGTGAGCTGTTCCCCCAAGTCCCCAGAACTTCTCAGGACACAGCGGTGCTGACTCAGGCCAGCGGCCCTCTGATGCCTCTCATTCCAGCTGTGCTCTGAGATTTCCACCTGTGCTCTGTGGTCCTCAAAGTGGGCCCAGGTTTTGTCTGACCTCAGCTCAGAGGCCCAGTGTAGCAGGTAACGTGGTCATACAGGGCACAGAAACTCCAGCCGACGGTCGCTTCATCAGAGGGAGGGTTCTTTTCTCTCACATCTGGGGGAGTGAGAGGCAGCTGCCAGTATTGCTGAGGGACAGCAATACTGTCCAAGCGTCAGGGCTGTGGTTTCTGCTCATCTTAGCCTTTACCTTGTAAGGTGACCCTAATAACTCCAGCCACCACACCTGTGATTCAGACAGGATGGAGTCGAGGCAAGGGGAAGGGAAGCGGTACCAGCTGCCCGGGTCCCTTGATTAAGAAACCAGAACCCTTCCCAGGTGTGCCCTGTACCGCCCTTTATGTCTGTTTGTCCTGACCTGTGGCACAAGGTCATTTCTGGCTGCAGGGAAGGACTGCAGGAGATGAGGAGCTTGGGAGCGGGTGTGGTCGGCCAACCACATGCAGTCTGTGGGTCTCAGCACCAGACGACTTTTCCTGTGCTTGGATGACGTGGTATTAGTGCTTTGGCCTAAGAACTTGTCATAACCAGACGTGGTCGGTTCAGCCACTCATTCATTGGTCCTCTAACCTGGGAAAGTGCCAGGAGGATGGACTGTGGGTCACTCTAGGGTGGTGCTCTGAGAGGCAGCTTCTGCTGCTCTGGGGGTCCAGTGCTTACTGCTTCTGTATCCGTGCCTGTAAGAACATCCCGCAGAACGGGTTTCTGTCTTTGGACAATGACTTCGTGTGGCCCTCCTACCCAGCGTGTCCTTCCGTGTGTTCTTCTTCAGGGAATTCAGTTTCTAATAGAAAATGACCTGCTGCAGAGTTCCCCAGAGGACGTAGCCCAGTTCCTGTATAAAGGAGAAGGCCTAAATAAGACCGTCATTGGGGACTACCTGGGGGAAAGGTAAGTGGAAGGGAGGGTGCAGTCCTACCCGGGCCCGCTCTGTCCTGCGGCCTGACATGGCCCATCCTCCTCTTTCAGGGGGACACAGTTACTTTGCTGTGGGCTAGAGGGGCCCATATGTTGCTCTTCAGTAGTGAGTGACCCAGTGCGATCACACCCCCTTCCACGCCCTTGTGAGGACAGAGGTGCTGGGGTGCTCTGGGTGGGCCCCGTGGTCTTCGGAATCCTTTGCTAAAGACCCCTGGCAGAACCGAAACACCACTGCTCTTTTCCCATGTTTCGGGAAGTATCTTAATTGTTCTGTGTTTCGCCCAGAAATGCACCAGATTTCTTACTGGTTTTCTTTCTCCCATTGGTGGGGGTGTGGATATAGGTGGAAAATTAAGATAGCTTTTTAAATGGCAATCAGCAGGTCAGCCTTCTTACTTACTGCTTCGCGGAGGTGAGGGCAGGCCTTCTGAGGTGGCATGTCCCTGAGTAGACTTTTGGAAGGGCCCAGGGTGAGTATCTGGAAACAAAAGTCCAGCAGTGGCTTGGTGGGGAGGACTATGTCTACGGCTTTGTATTAAAAATACCTGATTAAGAGTGAAAAGTGCAATACTTCCCAACTCCTCATGTGAGGCCACTGTTACCCCTGACACCAAAACCAGAAAAGACGTCACAAGAAAAAACTACAGACCAATGTCTTTTATGAATATGAAAGACCTACATACTACAGACCAATGCAGAAATCTTCAAGAAAATCCCAACAAATCACATCCAGCAATGTGTAAAAAGGACTATACACCATGACCAAGTCGGATTTATCCCCAGAATGCAAGGGTGGTTCAAGATCCAAAAATCAATTAATAGAATGCAGCCTATCAGTGAAGGACAAAGAATACATGATAATCTCGGACAAAGAGAACACGTTCGACAACGTTCACTACCCCTTCATTATGAAAACGCTCAAACTAGGAATAGAAGGGACTTACCTCAATTGCTGAAGGCTATCTATGAAAAACCCACAGCTAACTCCACGTTAAGTAATGAAAGACTAGGTACTGTCCTAAGAGCAGAAACAAGGCAGGGATGTCTGGTCTTTCCACTTCTTTTCAACGTGGCACTGGAAGTTCAGCCAGGTGACTAGGCAAGAAAATGAACTGAAAGGCATTCAGATTGGAAAGGAAGAAATAAAACTGTAGATGACACAATTTTATATATGGAAAATCCTAAAGAATCCACTGAAAACTATCAGAGCTAATAAACCAGTTCAGTAAGGTTGCAGGTTACAGGATCAGGATATAAAACTCAGTTTGCAATAAATGCATCCTGATAGAGTGGGAGCAAAAGGTGGGCCAGAACTCAAATTCTTAACCAGCCCAGACTTACCGGAGCTGTGAGACTGGAGGATTCCCCAGGACTTCCCCCTGAAATGCTCTTTAAGCTTTGAACCAAAAGTATTCCATGAGGTCATCTTTCAGCTAAATAATGGTTGGCTCATTTAAAAAATAAAAACAAAAACAGTATCCCCCATGGGCACTGTGCTCCTGTAAAAAAATCATCTACATGAGACCAAGTGGTCAACACTTAGTCTAACGCAAAGATGAGAAAGCAAGGGGGGAGAGGGAGGCTAGATTACCGGAAACAGGACAACCAGAACAGAAATCACAAGAAAGCTGCCACACTGTGCAAAATGTAACTAAACAATGTATTGAACAGATTGTGTAGAAACTGTTAAACAGGGAACTAATTTACTGTGTAAACTTTTACCAAAAGCACAATGAAGTATTATTAAAATAATAAGGAACTCAGTTGTAGTTCCATACACTCGCAGTGAGCAAATTGACAAGGAAATTAAGAAAATAATTCCATTTTAATAGCATCAAAAAGAATAAAATATTTAGGATTATATTTAATAAAGAAGTGTAAGACTTGTACATCGCAAACTATAAAGCTGTGTTGAAGGAAATGGCAGAAGACCGAAGTCAACAGGAAGACATCCCATGTTCATGGATCAGAAGTCAACAGGAAGACATCCCATGTTCATGGATCAGACGACTTAATTCTGCTAAAATGGTGATGCTCCCCCAACTGATCTACAGATTCAGCACAGTCTCCATCAGAATGACAGCTGGCTTGAGGTTTCCTTAGCAGCCCTCACTGACCAGGGACCCTGGGAACAGCTTTCAGTTCAAATTCCATTGAAGCCACCATGTTGCTTTTGCACTGTTTTGCTTTTTGTTTCTTCTTTACGATTTTGTTTATGTAAAAGTTTACATCTTTTTATCACGTTCTCACATTTAAACGCGAACGTAAGATACTGTTTTTCTCCCTTTCTGAGCCCAGAATCTCCTTCATGATTGTGACCTTGGGGGTGGGGGGTGTTGACATTAGTTCTCTGAGCTCCAGAATCCCTGTGAAACGGGAGTGAGGAGAGCGTCTCCTTCACAGGGTGGTCCTCTTCTCATGTTGAGCACAGAAGGGTGCAGTGGTGTGCACTGGGGAACACCCAGGACACTGGCTGGGCTTGTGTTATTTGAGGATTCATGATGGACCTGTTGCCCTGAACCTTAGTGATTATGAAGGAAACTCTTCACATTGTCTTGCCTCAAAGCAAATTTACTAAAAAAAAGTCTTCACTTTTAGTCATATGAAATTGAAAACCACAGAAAGCTGTGTTAGGAAGTGCTTTTCCTTTGAAACGACCGGCCCAGTACGTGCTGGGCTTTAAACCGTGTTCCCTTCCTCTCCAGGGATGAATTTAATATCAAAGTTCTTCAGGCTTTTGTTGAGCTCCATGAGTTTGCCGACCTTAACCTCGTACAGGCCTTGAGGTGAGTCTGGGCACAAGAAAGACGGGGGGACAGCACTTGTGCAGTGTTCCCCCTCCACTCCCAGTAGCTCAGACACCCCGTGTGTCCCTGCAAACACTGGTGCCTCGTGGAGACGCTCGGCAGCCCCAGGGGACGTCAGGACTCTCGCTCACGGGCGCTGCGCTCCAGTCTCTGTTGCTCACTGTGCTATGTGCTGAATGGTACCCAGTGGTGGTGCGCTGCCCTTTTCCTGCGTTCGCTGATGTCTGCTGATGGCTCTGTGGGCGGAGCTCAGCCAGGCACCAGCTCGTTTCCTGCCCATCAGCATGGATGGCACCAAGTGTACCTGGCAGGTCTCTGCTCAGCCTGCGTGTGGGCTTCCCACCAGTCGAGGAGAACTAGGTGTGGCCATGGGTCACCTGGTGGGGACCTCGATGCAGTCCCAACAGGGCTTTCTGGTCCCAGCCCGGCCTGTGCCCCCTGGAGGTACACTGTGGTCACTCTGATACATCTGTCTCTTTCCTTCCTTTACTTCCTTCCCACGTGTCTGGGCCAAGACATGATGGCTGTGCTAAGCCTGTGCTTGCCCTGGCACTTGGCCTGGTAGACATCGCTGGGGCAGGGGCCCTTGGCCCACGGGCACCTCTCTCAGAGAGGTGCCGCCCTGAACTTGGGGGCCGGCCGAGCCAGTGCACAGCACCGGCACGTGCTGCCTGTCCCACGGTCTAGACCTCTCCCCACTCACGGTGGCCGGCTCCCGTGGGAACCTGCTTCCTGGTGGCCTCGCTCAGCAGCAGACTGAGATACGGGTGTGCGCACCGTGGGACTCCTGGGGCTCAGACACAGGCGACAGCTAGCAGCAGACAGCCCTGCTGCTGTGGCTCTTTTAGGTTCAGGTTTCGAAAAATGTCTTAGAGGAAAGGTTTGACGCGGGGGGCTGCTCTGGGAGGTGTGTCCACAGCACGGCCACCACAGCTGCCCCTCCATTTCCTCTAGTTACGCTGCGCAATCTCTAGCCCAGAGCCACAGGGAGCTTGACATAATGCTTCAGGTCTTGGGAGCCAGCTCGGCCAGGGGAGGCCTGGCCTCTCTACGTGTCCACGGCTCCGGCTGGTTGGGGGAGGCCTGGCCTCTGTGTCCACGGCTCCTCTGTTGTCCCTCTGCCGTGTGGCTTGTCACGGAGGCCCACCCGGCAGGGCACCCTGGGCAGCCCAGCTCCCAGAAGACGGCACCTCCTGGGAGGGCGTGGCCTGGACTTGCCCTCGTGCCAGGAGCTGTGCAGAAACGTGAGGCGAGGAGCAGAGCGGGCCCGGGCTCAGGTGTGAGGTCTGCTCAGACGGCTGCCCTGGCTGTGGGAACGCTGTGGCCAGCAGGGAGTGTCGCGGTCACCTAGGCCAGGTGGGCAGAGGGCACAGCAGGCTGGCGATCCCACTGGTGCCAGACTGCAGGGGTGGGAGTGGCAGTGGGAAGGCAGCTGGGCTGTGAGAGGGTACCACTCACACTCAGCTCAGGTTTGAGTCTGAAGACCGGAACAGCCGGGGCTGAGGAGTCAGGAGCTGGCTGGGAGGTGGCCTGAGTGGGGCCGGAATCCAGATGGAGAGTTAGATGAGAAGAGGCAGAGGGGCGCAGGGCAGCCCCCCAGGGGCACACAGAGGGGCATGCCCAGAGGAGGGGGGCTATCAGGGAAGCACCCCTCTCCTGCCGGCGGCAGACAGTCCTCAGTGGCCCCTGCGGTCTGGCCTCAGCCCTGACTCCTCTGCTGTCACAGGCCGCGCACTGAGCACCAGCAGGGCCTTGGCATGCAGGGGGCACACTGGATGGGTGCCCGTGCCGGCGAGGCAGGTGGCAAAGAGAGCCAGCGTTGTGGTGGTGACAGTGCTGGGCCTCGGGAGGGGGCAGGAGTGTCTGGGGATGACCTCCGGGAGACGGTGCCCACTGCGTAGAAAGGGACCCAGAAGCTGGAGGACCCAGTTGTCTGCTCACCGGCCAGAGCCCGTGGGAACAGAGCCCTGAAGCGGGTGTGGGCCTCCCTGCAGCGGGGAGGGTGGGGCACCTGAGGGAGATGGTGTTGTGGGTGGAGGGGTATGGCCCACTTACATGGTCAAGGTCACTGGGCTGCTGCACGGAGGACATGTCAGGGGCCGGGACCATTCTCTGGGCAGGCAAAGGCACTCAGCAGTGGAGGGCAGAGGGGCTCAGGCCTGGGTGCATATGAAGGCAGAAGTGACAGGGCTGTAGCCACCAGAGAAAAGGAAGTTCTGAGTTACTGACGGAAGACAAAAGTCTCAAGTCTCCCTTCTCCCCGACTACACGTTCTCCATGTCCCTGCCAGAGCAGGTCCTGGGCAGAAGATGACAGTGAGGCTGCAGAGTGACCGCAGGGCCAGGCCGGTCTCCAGCACCAGGTGCAGGGTCTGTGGTCGCCTGGCGCACGTCAGCATGTGGAGGCACAGTTGCCTGGCGCACGTCAGGGTCTGTGGCCGCGTGGTGCCTGGCCCACGTCAGGGTCTCTGGCCGCACGGTCATCTGCGCACGTCACCCCCACGGCTCTTTCCTTGCAGGCAGTTCCTGTGGAGCTTTCGGCTTCCTGGGGAGGCTCAGAAGATCGACCGCATGATGGAGGCGTTCGCCTCCCGCTACTGCCTGTGCAACCCTGGGGTCTTCCAGTCCACAGGTCAGTGTCAGCCCCTGGGGCCCCAGGAGGAGCCCGGGGGGCACAGCCTGGGCTGGTCCCCGTGAGCAGGTTCTGAGCAGGTTCTGCCTTGGCCCGGAGCCAGGCCAGCCTGCTGTGTCCCTCAAGGGACAAGCCTGTCCCACCAGGGCGCACGGTCCGTCCTCTGGGCTCAGCCCTGCTGTGGAGCCCCCAGCCTCTCAGTGAGCCCCTGCTGTCCCTGGCTGCAGACACCTGCTACGTGCTGTCATTTGCCGTCATCATGCTGAACACCAGCCTCCACAACCACAACGTGCGGGACAAGGCCACGGCGGAGCGCTTTGTCGCCATGAACCGCGGCATCAATGAGGGACGGGACCTCCCCGAGGAGCTGCTGAGGGTGAGTGGCGCCGACGCCGCGGTCTGGGCAGCCTTCTTCCGGGACCCACGAGGTGGCGGTGAGTCAGCGCACGCAGCCCTGCAGCCACACGTCTCCTCGTCGCTCTTCGTCCCGCGGGTGCTTTTCTGTTCTCAGGCTTAGCGGCGTCTGAATCGGCAGCCCAGGCAGCTCCTTTCTCAGCGTGTTCTTAGTCTCTTGGCTTCTCTGGCCCTGCCCCCTGACTTGGGGTGGAAGGGCCGGCGGCTTCTCCCCTGTGAACCCTGGACTTGCTGCTGTTTCCCTCTTTACAGAATTTATACGAGAGTATTAAGAATGAGCCATTTAAGATCCCAGAGGACGATGGGAACGACCTGACCCACACATTCTTCAACCCCGACCGGGAAGGCTGGCTCCTGAAGCTGGGTGAGTGCCAGCACTTTGCTGCGTGGCCCGCAGTGGTCCCCCCGCCCGCGGTCCTCGGCGTCCTCGTCCTCGCAGGAGGCCCCTGAGCGGAGGGCAGGCGCATCGGGCCCAGCCGGGCACACGGTGCTCCCGTGGCTGCTCCCCAGGCTCGGGACCGCTGCCGCGGGTGCGGCCTTCCGGAGCAGGGCAGACGGGCACCCGGCTGCACCAAGCGGCCCAGAGCCCAGCGTCGTCCTGGCCGGACGTTTCTGTGCCCGGAGCGAGTGCATGACCTGGGAGCTCCGTGTGCGTCCCGCTCGGTTCGGCGTGGCCGTGACGTGATGCGCGGTTTACGTGTGCCGTCTTGTTTCCCTTCTGCTGTGGCTCCCACCTTTCTGTTCTGTGACGGGCTGTCCCTGCTTGTTCTGCGGCAGGAGGTACGTACCCAGTGGCGCTCTGTCCCGCTCAGCCACCCGCGTCTCTCCTGGCTGCCTCTCCCCTCACTGGCTCCTGTGAAGCTCCCGACCCCGCTGCCTTGACACGCTGGGCTCCTTTGGGGTTCTAGCGTGTGGTGGCCCACGGGGCAGGGGCAGGGGTGGCTGTGAGCCCTGGAAGCCCGTGCGTACCACGTAGACAGTTTTGACTCCCTGCCGTTCGGTAGAGCCTTGGAGCTGCCTGGCACCAGCCCCTGGCCTCAGTGTACCAGTCTCCCTCACACCAGCAGTGCCCACCTGCAGCCCGGGAAGATGCCAAGCCGTTGGGGCTCCCTTACGCTTTCTGGGTGGTTAAGGAGTGTCCAGGGGCCATTGTGACTGTGGGGATTGGGACCCTGCAAAGGCCGCAAGCTGTGACAGCTTCCCACGGGGCACTCAGGGCAGGCTGTCCCTGCGGCGTGTGAGACCAGGGCTGCGAGGCCCAGAGGCGTAACTGTGGTGGCCTGAGGCTGTGCGCGTGGGTGGGTGCCGCCTGGGAGCCCAGGACCTGTCCCCTGGTCCCAGCTGCCCTGACCTTTCATCTCTGGGCCCTGCCTTGGAAGCCCTGCGGGCCCCGGTCACCTCAGACCCATTCCAGACTGAGATCTCAGACGAGCTGTGGTGCTGGAGTGAGGCGGGGGGGGGGGCGCCCTAGAGTACCCGCACTCTGCACCCTCAGGAAGGACAGGCTGGGGGTGCAAGCTCTGCCCTGCGGCTCCGGCATTGCCGAGGGCGCCCCCTGGTGGGCGATGGCCAGTAAGCCGAGGCAGTGGGCTGCTAGGACAGCCCCGAAGGGGGCAGGGCTGTGTTCCCTGTTGTTACAGTCGTTACAGTCTGTTGTACGTGGCTACGCTGATGACATTGTTTGACTTGTGCAGCTGTTCTCATTCTTTTCTGAGTTGTTTGTCCTCCGTTCACATAAATTCACTGTCCGCTCGGGTTCCTCTCTGATCTTTCGAGTTGCTGTTGTCTCTGGATCCCACAGACAGACCTCGAAAGAGCTGTGTGGGGGTGTCGTTCTTATTAGCAACACAGTGACCATGACTCGGGAGGCTGGTGGGTGCGGAAAGCCGCGCTGGCCCAGCGCCCCTGGGATGCAGGCCAGCGGCCCTTTGCACCTTTGTTTTTCTGGGCCCTGTCTGGCCCAGCCTCTGAACCGTCCAGTCTCAGGAGTGAGTCCAGAGGTGTGGTCACTGCCCCCCGTGCTGGGTGGCCAGCAGCGGCTGCGCCCTGGGCCCCTGCCCTGCTGGGCCATGCAGCGCTCAGCACCTGGGGCCTCGGCAGCTTCGAGGGCCCGGGGTACCGCCACCCAGGCCTGGCCCCAGAGACAGCTCAGGGCCAAGGAGGCTGTGGGTCTGCGGAGAGGGCGGTGTGTGTCGTTCACGAGGGCACCTGGTCCGAGGCCTCCCTCACGGCCTCCCAGGCACTGGAGAGAGTCCCGCTGGCATGGAGCGCACGCTTGGCCATTGGCACAGAGCTGGTTTAGAAACAAAATCTGTCTTCAAGCCTGTCCCCAAAGAGCACGGCAAGGTCCACGTGCTGAATAGCACCCTCGTAGTCAGTTTAACGTCAAGGCAGGTGGCACTGCCGCAGTCCCTGGGTGCCCTGCCAGGGCCCCTGGACACCCCGCCACGGCCCCTGGACGCCCCGCCACCGCCCCTGGACGCCCCGCCACCCATGGCCCCTGGACGCCCCGCCACCCATGGCCCCTGGACGCCCCGCCAGGGCAGGCGCCCCCTGCTGCTTGGGTGTATGCACTGCAGGGTGTGCAGCCGATGGTGAGGACTGGGGAGGAAATCACGGCCCGGCCCGAGCTCTGAGAATCCGTGTGTTAGACAGGAACGGAGTCAGGGTTGAGCTGTTGTGGGGGAAATGTGTGTTGCAGGCCGTGTGCATGCTCATGTGCATGTGTGTGCCAGGTAACAGGAGGACGTAGGAGGGAAGTGACAGGAAAGAAGGTGCTGGCCCTGCTCTGGGGGAGCCGGGCTTCCTTAGGCACAGGGTGTGTGCATGGGGGGGTGATGTGAGTGATGTGTGTGCATGTGAACGCTGTGTGAATGTGCAGGGGTGCACATGGGGTGTGGGGGGCATGGTGTGCGTGTGGGGGGGTGGCATGTGTGTAGGTGTGTGCGTGTACATGAGTGGCATGTGTGTGGTGTGTAGGGGTGCACAGGGGTGACGTGTGTGGGTTGTAATGTGAGTCGTCTGGAACAGTGCATCGGGGTGGCATGTGGGTGCGTGTAGGGGGGACGTGTGTGTGGGGGCATAATGTGCATGGTATGGGAGGGTGATGGGGGGATGTGTGTGGGGTGTATGTGAGTGGTGTGGGAGGCACAAAGGGGATGGCATGGGGGTACATGGGGTGACGTGTGTGGAGTCTGGGAGGGCACGTGGGGGCGTGTGTGTGTGTACACGAGTGGTGTGTGATGTGTAGGGGTGTGTGTGTATGTGTGTGAGGGGGTACCTGTGGGGTGTAACCTGACTGGGAGGGGCGTGGGGGGCATGTGTGTGTGTGTGAGTTGTGAGTGTGGCATGTGTGTCCCTTGTAACACTCAGCCAGAAACCCTCCCAAGCAGAACTCTGTCTTCTTAGCTTGGCCCTGGGGCTGTGGCCCTGCCCTGGGGCTGGCAGGGTGCCCCGGGCCCAGCTTCTGGCCTGCAGGCCTGCAAGGCTTCCTGGGTCTCTGGAGTGGGGACCGGGGGCTGGAGTCTGCGGGGCTGCCACTGACTCTGGGAGCAGGGCCAGTGGGCAGGGTGCCAGGACCAGGGAGCCCTCGTGACCCTTTCTTGTGGGAGTGGGTGGTACAGGCCTGGCGACGGGTGGGGGTCGGGGTACCTGATCTCACACCGTGATGCGCCCCAGCAGGGACAGGGTGTCCAGGGAGGGTCCCCAAGAACTTGCTGGAGGCTGAGTAACAGGAAGGAGTTGGGAGCAGCCGAGCTCAGGGAGGCCTTGAGTTGAGGGAGTTTCATCTTATGCTGAGGGGGGGAGGAGGAGCCCCGGGGTGCTTTAACGGGGAGCCACTCGGCCAATTTTTTCCCCCCAAAAGATGCCTCTGGTGCTGCGTGGGGGCCGCTGGGAAGGGCAGGGGCGGGCCCAGGGCGATGAGGACACCCCACCCTGGGCGGCACCCAGAGGGAAGTGTGAGGAATGGAGGTGTGAGGGGCGCAGTGGGGCGACCAGTGAGTGATGCTGGCCCAGCTGTAAGATGACCCCTCAGTCTGGCTTCACACTTGCAGGGCTGCAGGGACCTGCCCCGGGAGGTGCCTGGAACCCGTCAGCTGTGTCCTCCTTTCTCATGGCCTCTAGGTGCCTAGCACATGTCTCTGTCCACCCGTCACTGGGGACTTGGGGGCAAGCTTGAGCTGCCCTGAGGGTCCCCTGTCTGATGCCTCAGCAGAGTCTGGGCAGGTGGGAGGCCAAGGGAGGGCTGGCGTGGGCTGGGGCAGCCAGGGCACCGGGTCTGTATTGGGGTCGGGAGGGGAGGTGGACAGGCCCATGTGGGAGGCGTGCAAGACGGTGAGAGCCCTGGTGAGGTGGTGTTGGGCCCGAGAGCCTCGGTCAGCCCTCCTAGGGCAAGGGATTGGGCAGGGGTGGCCCAGCGTGGGGTTCAGATAGACGGGAGGAACGTTCGGGAAGGGGATGGGGCTGCGCCTTCCTGACAGAGTGTCTTAGAACCAGGCCTCCTGCCGTGCAGGCTGATGCTGTTCCTCCTTGGGCTTCTGTGGGCGTGGGCTGGGGAGGGGGGCGGAGTGGGGCTCCCTCAGAGCCCACGAGTGACAGATGGGCAGGGTGGCCTTAAGACCAGCCCTGGCTCACCCCAGGGCCGGCCACAATCAGAGATCTGTGTGTGAGGCACTGGGCTTGGTCTGTGAGGCAGGGCAGGCCTTCCCAGTGCCGTGGAAACGGCTTCTCTCCACCCCGCACCCCTGCTGGACTGTCCCCTGCTTGCTTCTCTCTCTGGCGCTCTGCAAACTTCGGCTGTCAGAGGCCGCAGTAGCCCTGTTGCTCCAGCTCTGGGGTAGCAGTCGGCTTCCAGGGCTCCTGCTTAGAGTATCCCTCCGTTTCCCCACGTGGCTTGCAGACCTGTTCCCTCAGCACCCTTTGTGCCTCCCTAAGCACGCCTCCCCTCACCACACTGACCTCACCTCACCTCCCCACCCTCACCTCACCTCCCCTGTGTCACCTCATCTCACCGACCTCACCGCACCTCACTGCACCGACCTCACCGCACCGACCTCACCTCACCCCACCTCACCACCCTCACCTCACTGTACCTACCTCACCTCACCTACATCACCTACCTCACCGTACTACCTCACCTCACCTCTCACTGTACCTCACCTCACTGGCTCATGGTCTGTTTGGGGTGAGGGGTGGGATAGGGTGGCCCTGGATCTGAGGGCAGACCCTCACCCTGACGGCACCACACCTGCCTCCCTGGGAAGCTGAGTGGCCCGCAGAATGTGAGCACCTTCGACACTGGGTGCCCCTGGGGTCTGGGGAGTAATTCCCACTTTGTACCGTGTCTCCCTCGGATCTGGGGCCTGGGAGCGATCCCGCCTTGTGCCCTGCGTTTCCCTCAGATTTGTTGCCCACAGCAAGTTTCCTATTTAAAGAAAAAAAAAAAAAAACCTCAGGAGGTCACGTCAGCAACAAGGGCAGGAAAGTGACGGCAGTTTGCTGCGTGTCTGTGGGTGGAGCGAGCCCTTCCCTAGCGAAGGGCGTCTGTCCCAGGGGCCAGGTGAGACAGGGTCATGGCTGCTCCAGATCTTGTTACGAGATTAGTTCAATCCAGTAATTCTCGGGGACTGTGATAGGTCCCAGGGCCACCCCAAGTGCCCTGTAATGCGATCACCTCGCTGGTGTCATTGGCTCAGGTCACAGCAAAGCCGGAGGAAATCAAGCCCGCCCGTTACTTTGCCGGGAAGCGGATCTGGAGGTGATTGGATTATCCGGGCTCTGGGGGTGCGTGTGCCAGGGCCCCAGCAGAGCACCATGTCACCCAGTTGTCCAGCCGGTGGCGCTGGATCAGGGGCCTTTAACGGCCAGGCCAGCATGGCCAGCACAGGGGTTTTCTGGCAGACTGTCGAACCCCTTCACAAGCAGGAAAGCTTAACACCCAGCCTGGTTCCTGGTGGCGTTGCTGCAAAGCCAGCTCCTCCCGGGTCCCCCAGCTGCCGGGCCTGGTGCTCGGCCGACGTCTGGCTCATGAGGCCTTGTGCTTGCAGGCGGCCGTGTGAAGACCTGGAAGCGGCGCTGGTTCATTCTGACCGACAACTGCCTCTACTACTTCGAGTACACGACGGTGAGAGCTCGGGCCCTGCCTGTCCCCCAGCGGGGACCCGCACACCCCACGCGGGAGGGCCACCCTCCAGACCGGTGGCCTGAGTGGCTCCGACGTGCCCCTCTCTCTCGTAGGATAAGGAGCCCCGGGGAATCATCCCACTGGAAAACCTCAGCATCCGAGAGGTGGAGGACCCGCGGAAACCCGTGAGCGCCCTCCTCCGGCCCAGTTCTTTGCGCACACTTGCCCTTCCCCTGCTGGCAGTGCCACGGGCAGGGGGCCCTGGGTGCGGTCATTGACGGCCTCCCTGCCTTTCTCCCCTCCCCAGAACTGTTTTGAGCTTTATAACCCAAGCCACAAAGGGCAGGTCATCAAGGCCTGCAAGACGGAAGCCGACGGCCGGGTGGTGGAAGGGAACCACGTGGTGTACCGGATCTCGGCGCCGACCCCTGAGGAGAAGGACGAGTGGATCAAGTCCATCAAGTGAGTGAGGTGGGGGCTGCAGGCCGAGTCCTTCCGACACGGAGGTGGACAGCGTGTGCGCACGCGTGCGCGCCTGAGTGTACACGTCTGGGCAGGAACAAGCCCTTCTGAGCGTCTCCTCTCACTTTGTTGGTGATGAGGTCGCTGGGGGGGGGAGGGCTGTCTCAGACGGCACATGCGTGTGCGGCTAACCCATGTTTCCCCTTTCTTTACCAGAGCGAGTATCAGTAGGGACCCTTTCTATGACATGCTGGCAACGAGGAAGAGGAGGATTGCCAATAAAAAGTAAGAGCTTTCCTGGCTCCCCAGGAGGAAGTCAAAACCCAAACCCCAAGCAAAAAGTGACCAAGGGCTTCTCCCTGCGGCCCCGGGACACACCTCCTCAGAGCGTTTCCAGAAGGCCTGGCCACAGGCAGCCAGAGAAGGGTGCTCTGGGGTGGTGTCAGCAAGCCAGCCGCACACGCTGAAGCCTTAGGAGTGCCACGGTCTGGAAGCGGGATCGCTGGCTGAGCGTCCAACACCTTCCTGCCGACCATCACGTCAGCTGCTGTGGTGACACGGCACTCACCCGAGGATGGACTCCCGCTCCCGCCAGCCGCCATGCCGCACGCCAGCCATTCCTGACGCCATCTTACAGCAACCAGGAAAGAAAAAGCTACCACTTTTTTATTCAGAATTTTTTTCTCAGATATATGATTATAGCTTTTATATGCCTTTTTATATCTGAAATTATGAGAGATGCTTACTTTCTAACAGTAGTATTTTTAGAATGGCAGCTATAACTGTAACTCCCAGACACAGTGTACGCTGTGCCCAGAGAAAAAATATGCAGCACCCAGTGGGGTGGGCGAGGGCCCGTCGCCGACTGCCCGGTGCCGGGACTCGAGGTCGTCAGGGAGGGGAGGTGTAGGGGCAGCAGTGGGAAGCCCACCAAGGTTCCCCCACCTCCCAGTGAGCACTTGGTGAGAGAGGGCAGGGTGACACCTGGGGCCACTCGTAGACTTGGAGGCATTTCTGCCCTGCAGATCCTTTCTGGAAGGCAAACAGTTAAGTATAAACGCTGTCAGGGGTTGTCATGGTCTCTTTCCCGGACAGGTGGGCCATAGCTGAACTCCGCAGAGCTGCGCCTGTGGCAGCTGCAGCCGTGCGCAGTGCATAGTCCGTGCGGGTCAAACACACGGGTCCGGCTGGCTCTGGACCACGTCCTCCTTTACATCCTGTGAGCAGAATGCACGCTTCATCTTACTGACCTTAGGGTAATTTGACCAAATTTCTTGACTCATAGCGATAGACAGGTAACTAGAACTAACAACTGAATCCTCCAGTACTAGACCACGTTTTCAGATTTCATGTCCCGTCCAGAGATGGGAAAGAGCAAAGGCCGGGCTGAAGGTGTAATTTGAAACAAACGTACCTTGTCTGGACCAAAGCAGGTGGCTCTGGGCTTTGCCCCAGAGGCCGGGAAGGTGCTACCCCTGGTGGTGGTGGGGGGCACAGGGTGGCTGCTGAGTGAGGCGGCTCAGCCCCGAAATGGTCAGGTCCCTAGACTGAGGGTGCTGAGTGGGTGGGGCCTGGTGACAGGCACCGGCCCCTTTCCCAACAGGAGCCGTGTCTTGAACATGGTGACTGCTTTGTCACCGGACAGTCTTGCGACGGGCCTCCTGCTGCACGGGCTTTTCTATGCACTCGCCCATCTGCGTAAGCACACCTTGAATCCACCCACCCCATGTGCCGTTAACGGACAGGAACGAAAGCCCGAGAAAGCAGACTTCAGACTGGATGTCTGTCTGTGCTGCTCAGCAGTGACTGCCCTGCGTGTTGCTCAGATAGCGGCGGCCCTCTGCCTCCCAGTAGCTTTAAGTTGAGAGCTCTGGTGGCTCAGTGCCTAAGGCACGACTGCTAACCAGAAGGCTGGCGGTTCAAACCCACCAGCCACTCCTCGGAAGGAAGGTTGAGCAAGCTACTTCCGTAGTGATACTGCCTCGGAAACCCAAGGAGGGGTCGCTATGAGTCGGGGCCGACTTAACGGCACATAACAACAGCTTTAAGTCACTTTTAACTGCAAGGGGCTCCCAGCCTGTAACTGGCCACCACGTATCAAGGCCACATGTTTGGTTCCTTCCCAGACTTGTAGCTCTGTCGCTGTACCAATACCTCAAATTGGAAATTTCCGTTTCTGGGAAAGGCAGCCGTCGGCATTTTCGCGGCCTGACTGGTCAGTACACAGCTCTGGCCTCCAGTCTTCCACCCGCACAGAACAGCTGCTGAAGATGTCTAGTGCCAGTGTTTCATGCACAGAAAGCCACTCTCCTTCCTTCTCACCCAGACATAACCGGGGCCCAGGGCTGCCATCTTTGAAAGGGCTTGGCCTCGGCGTGGTGGGGGGAAGGGCACGTGAAGGAGACACCGTGAGGGAGTACGGCCGAGGCTGCTCATGGGAGCCGTGCAGAACGCGGTACTTAGGGTCCGTGTCACGTGCCATCCGAGTGTCACGGGAAGCCATCCACTTTCAGGTCTTGTGACAGTATTAACTTGGTGGCTACACAGCCATCCTGCTAAGCGAGCGCCAGGCAGGCCTGTTCCCAAATGCCTTCCGGGCTGGGCGGCTGGTTTTTGCCTTGTGCCATGGGCAGCCTGGTATTCCTGCCCGAGCTTGAGCCCAGTCAGTCACGTTCATCTTTCCCGCGTGTACACTCAGTGCTTGAATTATTAGCTCTGGCTCTGGCCAAAGACAGACACAGCTTCCTCCAGAGACAAGGAGTCAGAGGCAGCTAAAGGGTGCTGAGTGGAGCCTCCCCGGGCACTCTCGTTGGGCCCGGGTGACTCTTTGAGGTTTTACCAGACTGGCCCTGGCCCCAGACAAGCACCGGCTTCAAGGTCAGGTAACACTGGCAGTTCCGTGGCACAGGAGCTATCCACCATGGAGCAGCACCTCCTGCTTCGTCTAAAGCAGTGCACTGAGCTCACAGACGTGCTTGCTGGGGACTCAGGCCCACGGCAGACCAGACACCACAGGTTGTGCTTTCTCGTTATTTTTTCTTAGAAAACATTTCTATTTACAGTAATACAGTTAGTATGTGAATAATGTACATATGTGTGGGTTTCTGGAGTGTGTGTCTGCTATTCAGTGTATATACTTCTGCAACGTGCATGAAGAAAAATATCCTCTATCTTCCTATTTTGTTGTAAAGTGACTAGTTAGTGAAATCGGAGTATATGACTGTAAAGCGCTCCTACAGATACTGTAACTCAATAAAAGATCCGATGTACGTTAAACAAGATCGTCTAAGATTTCATCCTTTAGCACAGATGCTGCTGGAGCCAGTAACCTGCTCCCAGCCTGTGGGCGCGGCGTGTATGTACGCGGCCCGGCCGTGTGGACGTGGACGAGCGCAAGCAGGTCAGGGACAAGTCTGTGAGCAAATGGGGACCCGGCGGTAAAAACGAAGACCACACCATCTGATTTGCTGCCGTTTATATACTATAGAAATTTTACATGCTGTATATTTACAGTGGGGCAAGTGCTTTTTAATCTTTAAAAAAACAAAGATCAAACTTTAGACATCTCTGAACAACACAAACTGTATAAACCATACAGATTATTCAGATAACAAACTGTATTACATACAGTTTTCCCCACTCCATCTCCTGATGCAGGACCAGTGAGTTATAAGTTATCACAGTTTGATAGCATATCCATATTAAAAATAAAATCACAGTATGAATTTGTCTGTAACTAGGAACTTTAAGGGACCAAGCTGATGACTCAGACGCCTGTACCATATAGTCAAGACAAGAGACACTGTATCAAAAAGGGTTAGGTAATAAAAACATACTGTAGGCTTTACAAATAACATTTGGATTATACATTCATAATGTAAATACGCATCATAACTGGTAAACTGATTGGAATAGTTCCACAAAGTTCAGAAACAGAACTCGTCTATAAAATGCATCTTCAAATCTTGAATACAACGAAAATACGAAGCCAATGCATTTCTAGTCTCAGACGTTACAGAAAACAGACTGCTCTCGAAAGCCTCGGGGAGAGCAGGGACTCTCTCGATAAGTCTTTAAATTAAACACGCACGCATCAGTTGTGTGTCCTTGAACAATTCCATGGTTTCCCGGTTGGTCTTGCACCAGATGTCGACCGTGGAGGAACATTACATGAAATACACGGAATCAACCTGAGTCTGTGGTTAAGCAGCATTGAGATGTTCTATTCCAGGGCATTGTTTCACTGTCATTTATATACATGGTATTTTACAATGGTCAGCAGGTGTAGAAAGTGTTCATCCATTTGGAACAAGGGCAGTTAAGAAAACATAAAAACTAAAAAGTTCTCCATGGTAAAATCTGTACAGTATTTACTAAAGAAGCACCACGCAGATTTGAACAAAGTTATTCTCTATAATTTAAGCTGGGCTGGGGATGGCTTCTGTTGGACACGCTGAATCTGAAACACAAAAGGCAGCAGGCGTTAGTGGCTGCCGCGGCTGGAGGACCTCCCCTCTGCACGCCGTCTTCTCACAGCTCCCTCTTAGCAGCTGCCGCCGGCCTCTCTTCCTTAAAACGTAACTCTCCTCCTAGAGACCAGACAGCAAGGGGGCCGGCTAAGCGCACACACGGGTCCCTGGACCAGGCTGGCATCTAGTCCACCTCAACCCAACCCTCCACTAGGGCGGCGCCCTTCCGCATCAGGCTCAGCTCTCTTCCTTGAGGACACGCAGAGGAAGCATGTTAACTACCTACCAATTAATCTTCAGGAGAAACTCAATTTGAAATTCACTTAAATCCCTGCCACTAAAAGATTTGGACAAAATTCCTTTCAAGGATAAACAATTCACTCTCGCCTTTACCTCAGCAAGTGCGAGGTATGGACACGGACGGCCATCACCCAGGGCCACTGAGTGAACTGCCAGCATGCAATTGCTTGACCAAGGCCTTGACACTCAAGGGGGTCTCAATCCGCTATGAGGTACCCACACCAAAGTCTTAGAATAAAACCAGGTCATGTCCACCTGAGATGGGCGTGTTAACAGGCTTCTGATCGCCAACCCTGCCGTGTGGCGTCAGGACCCCCGGCCTGGGCACTGGACCAGGCAGCCCAACAGGAGTGGCACTAACCTCAGCGTTCTAGCAGCCCTGGGAACGAGGAAGAGAAGGAAAGAACAATTCCAGGCCCTCTCCCTGCTGTGGGCGACAGCTGAGGCAGGCCTGGGCTGGCAGGTGGGTCTCCGTCTACGCAACGGCTGTCCCATTGGTTCTCACGCATAAAGCGTGCCAGCCTTTCTCACGATGAGGGACACGGGAAGGTGGAGTGACTCTTCCTAAATCGGAGGGGCCTACGTCCTCCCTGACAGTGCTGGAAAGGATGAAGAGGAACGGGGCCGGCCTTCACGCCAACAGTGCCTGCAGACAGAGCAGAGGAGGGCGGCGGCCTAGGTCCGCCCCTGCTGCGCCCAGCAGCCACTCTGCATCCCATCAGCTACTGGCCGCGGGGCCGAGCCCAGGAAAGAGCTCCCCAAGGCTTCCGCGTTTACACCCTTCGGTGCCATGAACCACACATGCAAACAGCTTACCGTAACTAGTGAGTTGTCTGGTTCAAGGCCGAATTTTCAATCACCTGGAAAGCAGATGTCAGGAGACATTTTAATAGCGGTTTTGCACAATTAGTAGCACCTCCGCTCAGCAGGTGCCTTAAATGGTTACAACACACACCCTGCCCTCTGGAGCCAGCCTCCTGTTCGTCGCCTAAAGTCAGGCCTCCGCAGGAGAGGCGTGTGTGTCACGAGCTACAAGTACCCTGCTGAAAGCGAGGGACGGGTCACGGGGTGGCTGAGGGGCCATGCGGGCCGTCTCTACCTGCAGCCCTCCAGACGGACCAGCACTCACGACAGAAAGATCTAAGACCACAGGAACACGCTGAAGGCTGACTGGAACCAGAGACCACGATGAGAAGGGAAACGGACAAATAGGGCCCGTGGACTTGAGACACACGTCCTGGGGGGGGACAGGCCTGCACGGCCTGGGTGTCTGCAAAGCAGGCAGCTGCCAGGTGTGACTGGACCAGGGACAGGGTCCGACATCACAGTTGAGGCGGCCTGCTGCAGCCCTGAGGCCTGCGTCTGGGGGAGGACAGGAGGGACGCCTTCCCGGTGCAGCCCTCTGTGGAGCCACGGCCCAGCCCATCTCTGGTCACATCCTTCCAGGTGACCTCATGACTTAACCGTGACATACCGCGCAAAGCCAGAAGGGAATCTGTTTCCAGCAGCCCCTGCCCCAAGCACCAACATGTTTAAGTGGAACCCATTTTAAAACGTGCATAACTAATTTCTTAAAAACACACAGACAGTTACCAACAAAAAGACAACCCAGTCAGAAAACGAGGGCATGAGGAGACATGGCACACCACGGGACATTCCAACAGCCAGCGAGCACGTGGAAGGGCTCAGTGCCATTAGCCACCAGGGAAACGCAGACCAAAACCACGCCACACCACTTCACACCTGCTGGCGTGGCCACTGCTAGTCCCCTTTTATAAAAATGATCTTTAGCAAGTGTGCAGAAATCAGAACCTAATCTTTTTCTGGGGGAATGTAAAATGGTACAGCTGCTGGGGGAAAAGAGTTGAGTGGTTCCTCAAAAAGTTGAACAGAGGACTCCATGGGCCCCAGCAATCCCGCCCCTAGGTGCACCCCAAAGAATTCAAAGCAGGAACTCGGCTCTGTCCTCCAGCACGCCCTGCAGCTGTTCACTGTTCACAACGCCAAGGGTGGGGGCAGCCTAACTGGCCATCAACAGACGAACGCATACATGAACCGTGGTCCAGCCAGAAGGCGACACGGAGTCCTGAGGCACGCCACCATGTGGGTGAGCCTTGAAGACATCAGGCTGCAATAAGCCAGTAACAGGAAGACAAGCAGTGCCTAACCTCATTTACATAAAAGAACTACACGGCGACTAGAGCTTACCAGCAGCCAGCAGGGGGCAGAGGCAGTGGGTCTACATGAGTGGTGGTGGGGTGACTCGGGAGAGGACAGCAGGGTGAGCCTGCGCAGCCTGAAAGACGTCACCAGTGTCACTGTACGGGCAGAAACTACTGACGGGGTGCAGGTTTGGTACATACAGGAGTCCCCAACTTACAACATACTCAGGTTACAACCAACTGCATTTACAACCATCTGGTAGTTTTATTCACATGCTACCCTCAGTAATAGTACTCCATACAACGGTGCAGTGCATGATTCGCTGGTGTCCTTCTCGGATATTTGGCGTTTATGATTTATACAGACTGGTAAAAAAAGGCAATAATGAAAACAGAAACAAAAAAGTATTCACTTATGTCAGAACAAACTTATGACAAAATCATCAGAATGGAGCCCTATCCTAAGCCAGGGGACTACCTGTGTACTTTGTCCACAGTCAACACACACACACACACACACACGTAACAGAGCAACCACAACCTGAACCTTCACTTGCTGGCAGTGGCTACTGTTCCACTGCTACTTGCTGCTCCATGAACTTCTCAGTAACACTCAGAGACCCCACCCTCTAGTTCCCCAAGCAGCACGGCCCACGCCACGTGTTTCTGTTTTCTGCAGACCAGCACTTTTGGACTGTGTGCCACGCCTTAATCAACAACCGCTTGTGGACTGTGGGCCACCAGAGGGGCCAGGCTGCACCTCCTCTTCTCCCTGCGACATGGTGCCACCGCTGCAAGCCCAGGACACAGTCAAGAACCAGGAAGCCCAAAAAGGGTTCAGGACAGCCTAGATGGTGTGCTCCTGCAACAACGCGCACACACTTTATCTGCGGAACTGAATTGCGGTGTCTGGGACAGGGGTCACAAAAATGACTTCTGGAAAAGGCCGGCTGGTGGACACCTGTGGCTCTGAGGCCATGCAGTCTCTGCTGCACCGACTCCTCTGAACCGCGCTAGGACCACAGCAGCCGCAGACACGAGAGTGGGGCCTGCAGCAGTGCTCCAGAACCTTCTTACAGACGCTGAAACGGGAATTCGTGTGAAATGAAATATTCGACTTTTTTCCGATGTTTTAAAAACATTACAACCAACAAAAAAAAGATAACCCAATCAAAAAATGGGCAAGGACCTAAACAGCCATGTTACCACAGAGGACACCTGAACAGCCAACAGGCACATGGGGAGATGCTTAACATTTGTCAGTCATCAGGGAGATGCATGTGAACCACGAGATGCCCCTCAGCCCCCTGGACAGTGCTGGTCAGCAAACAGGGAACAGGTGCTGGTGACGGGGTGCAGACACAGGGACATGGTCCACCAAGGGGATGCAAACGGTACGAGCGTGGTAGCAACATCTGGCAGGTCCTCAAAAGGCTGAACAAAGAATTTCGTAAAGACCCAGCTATCTCAGCACAAGGTTGACACCCTGAAGTGGAGGCAGGACCAGGACCACAAACAGCACCGAGTGGTGCCTCACAGTACGCGTCACACAGCCACAAAGAAAGCCAAACGTCCATCGACAGGTGGACGGATAAACAACACGCAGGCATCCACCCCACGCACCAGCGGGCAGCTGTGAAGAGCCACAATGTCCTGATGCCATAACGTGGGTCGTGGGTGAACCTTGAAAACATGCTACTGAGTGAAATCAGTCAGTCACAGACAAGTGGGCGGGATCAGGCAAATACACAGAAACCAGAGCCTACTGTGGGGAGAGAGGGACGGGAATTCTTCCTCAGGGGCAAGAACTTATGTTAATGGTGGTGGAAAATAATTCAGAAAAGGACAGTGAGAAGTGTCACAACGTGAAGAGTGGAATCCAGTCACTTCCCATTACAGAAAGCGCTGAGATGCTGGGGGTTTTGTCATGTGCATCTGTACAACGCGCGCGCACACGCCAACCACACTCAACCTGCAGACGGCACTGCGGGCGCTGGCCCCAGGGCCGCAGTCTGCCATCCTCCACTCCAGGTCCAGTGTCTTACACTGCCTGCATTTCCAACAGGCTCCACACCCTTGTGCAGGGTCAGGTCCTTAGAAGCAAATCAGAGACGGGGAGGGGCTGCTTTCCGTGCATTTGGAGCATGGAGCTTCTTGATTGAAGGAAAACACGGTCTGCAGGCAGAGCCCAGAATGCAGGGCACCCAGCAGTATCCCTCTGCTCAACGCCTACCACTCAGGCTTCCAATGACAATCATCCAATCATGGCTGAGGTCACACTCAGAATGCCAAACCATCCAATCACGGACAGGCTTATACTCAGACTGCCGGCTGTGTAAGGATTCAGAAGAGCAAGCACGTTTCTATCAAAGATGGTTTAAAGCCTCCTACTCATCAAGGCCTGCTGGTGCACCGGCTAAGTGTTCAGCGGCCAAACAAAAGGGCAGCGGTTGGAACCCACAGCTGCTCTGGGGGAGAAAGATGAAGCAGGCTGCTTCTGTAATGATTAGTGCCTCGGAAACCCTGTGGGGCATTTCCACTTTAACCTGTAGGGTCTTTGTGACTTGGAATCACTCAACGGAAATGTTTTCTTTACTATCTTAAAGGCATATATAAACAGCCAGAGCCATATACCCCAGGGGCCCTGGATTCGCTTTGCTGGGGCTGGTTTGATCTAACTTGGGCTTCCAGTGGATGCTAAGGGACCAGTGATAAACGAGCAAACCCTGCAACCAAGTCACACTACACGTCTGAGGCGGGGCTGGAGGGGGCAGGGGGGCGGGTCTCGGGGAACTACACACCCTCTCATGCCATTTATGGATTTCTCATGTGTTACGTGCAAATGAAAACAAGTGTTCTCTCTGTCCTTAATTCTACATAGCCCCTCTTACCCTGGCCACACTCTGAGTGACGACCCTTGTCCCCCCTGCTCTCCAGCCTTAGATGTTTCGTTTTCTCACGGCAAGGTCCAACGCCTTCTAGCGGCAGGCCGTCAGGGAGAGGAAAGCCGCCCTCGGCCATCCGGACGTGTTCCACAGTCTCACAGCTGGTGGCCTTGGGTGAGGGGGGCTCGGGGTCTTTTACACAGTCCTCCAACTTTCTTGAATGTCTCTTCTTTTTCTTTTTCTTCTTTTTGTGTCTGTGGAGGTCAGCCTCAGAGTACACGACCGAGAGATCTGAATCCTGCTGGTGCCTGCAGAAGATGCCAGAATAAAACCATGAGCGCAAACCCCTTGGCTGTCAGACCCACTTGTTGGTCTAAACACAGGCAGAACACTCACCTAACTGAAAATGTGTTGTTGTCACCGTGTTAACTGTTTAAGCTCAGGGTCAAAACTATATCCACTTCCACCCCACCCCTGGCTCCTCCCTGGGCCCTGCAGCTCCACGCAGGGGCAAAACCCTGTGGGGAACCCCTGCAACCTCTTCCTAAAATCAGTGGCTGAAGGACCCTCAACTGCTTCTGTGCGGTGCCCAGCCCACAGGAGGGCGGGGGTGATTCCGCTGCCCTCGCCACTGTCTCTCTACCCAGGGCTCTGGGCAGCTTTTCCCAGGGTTTCTGTTTTGGGAGCACTCAGCTAAGCTACAGGGTTAACTCTGTCCTGCCTTCTCCATCACACTGCACACGTCTTCAACACAACCAGCCAACAGTCTGCTTTGTAAGAAAACAAAACCAAATTTCTCCAGTGCATTTCAAACTGACAAACGGAGACAGAAAAACAAAGGCCAAGGCAACAAGCACTGTGTCCCCGACCCCAACCCCGGCAGGCAAACATTCAAAAGACTGTGGCCTCCCGTTTCTGCCCACTGACAACCAGGGAACGTGAAGGAAACACCAAGAGACGAGAAAAAGCACCCACTTGTGGTGACTAAGAATACTGGCACTACTTCTCAAGGGAGAGACCCCAGGCTTTCATCCACGGAACAGCACACATGCTGCCTGCAGGAGGATCAAGTACCAGCCAAAAAATGGCAACAGCATTTTGAAAAATGAGATTGTTCAGCATTTTACTACACACTGTGAAATGAGATCGAACTTCGAAACAGTTTTAGAAACCCATAAAAACAGTGAAATCTCAAAACCTACAGTGATGAAAATACAAATTAAACTAACACAAACACGACGTGGCTCCCCTTCACATGCTCCTCAGCTGGGAGAGAGGAAGGCGCTGCAAATGACCGAGGGCCCCACACCTACCTAGAGTCCCGATCTCGGTGTTTGTCTTTGGATTTCTTTTTCTTCTTGGACTTTTTGTGCTTCTTCGCTTTAGGCTCTTCAAAAGCGTCCTTCTGTAAGCTTCTGCGGTGCCTCCTGTCGGGGGTGCTGTCACTCGCTCCCAGGCCCGTGTGCCTCCGCTTCCGTGACTTCCCGTTTTCATGTCCGTGAAACCGATCGGAGAGAGGGCAGCTGACCTCTTCAGCGACTAGTGCAATTTTCTCACGGGGGTACTTGTCTGGGTAGAGAGGAAGCGCATGGGGTGGGCCCGCCCGGGGGCTGAAGTGGTGCCGGTCCTTCTCCTGGGCGACCCGCCCATACCCCTTCCTGCTCTTGTAGTAGTCCTTGTACGGCCGGCTGCCGCACTCGCCCGCTTTGTCATACTCCCGGTCGCTGTGGACAAGCTTCCACTCCCGGCCCTCCCGGGCTGAGTAAGGGGCATACCTGTCGTGGTAGTAGCGACACTTGTCCCATCGCACCTTGTCAGGGTAGTACTTCTCCCGGCCCCAGCAGTGTTCACTTTCAGCATGGTGGTACCTGGTCCACTCCTGCTCGGACCCGCTGCGGTTCCGGGAGTGGTGGTGGTTGTAGCGGCCCAGGGAGTGGCGCTCACTGGGGCTGCCCCGCTCACCGTGAGCCGCGTGGTGCTGACTCCCATTGCAGTGCTCGGGCTTGTGGCGGTCCTGCTTGGGCCGCTCCCGGATGTAGGGGTGCCACTGCTTGTGGTAACAGTCCAGGGTCTTGCTCCTACTTACCCTCGTGCGCTCACCACTGGAGGAATGCTCTCGGCGGTTCCGGTAGTGTCCTCGGTCCACTTTCCTGAGGCTGCTGATTTTCTCCTTGACTGGAGAATGGTCCAGGCCTTTCTGTCCAACCCTGTTTTCTTCGCCTCTCTCAACACCACTTTGCTCAGGGACCCTGGCTGGGTGATTTTCCGGGAGTGAGTCTAACTGGGGCAAGGGCAGCTGCCTTGTGGACACGCCTGGGCTCTCAGGAAGGTTGTCCAGTTCTCGGCACTTCTCTCTCGTGACGTAAACCAGGAGTTTATGTTCACATTCGTCATCTGAGTGGGCCAAGGGGACTGGGGCCACTTTCTCCATGGTTTCCCCGGATGCTGTGCCCCGTGGGCTCTCTACTAACATCCCATTCGTGTCTTGTGATGGTCTGATGAGATCACCGGTCAAAGTCCCAGAGTCACACAGTCTGGAGAGCTGGTCGCCCCCAAAGGTCCCCATGTTGGCATGACCAAGATTGCGGGTACTGGGCGAAGACTCGGGGGGCTCTGCAGAACCATTTTCAGAGGCTTCTTCTTTGGTAGACTTGGTGCTGGGCTCAGAGGCGGGTAACGCCTTCTTGAGTTTGCTGCTGAGACGTGTACCTGCCTCCAGGTCCTCGCAGGAGTCCAGAGTGCCACTGGCCGCCTCTGGGTCAGCTTCATGATCCTCTGTAAGGCTCTTCTCTGTTCTAGTTGCACTGAAGCGCCCCCACCAAAAAAAAAAAAAAGAAGATAATTAGCTTGACTGCTCAATAGTTTTTTGTCATTGGCTCACAAGTATAAATACTTCAAAACCTCTGTTTACCAAATGTTTTAACACCTTTAAAGATATCTGGCTAAAACCCAGTATTGGGCTCATCGTCGTGGCAAACGCTGAATTTTCCTTCCCCGTTAGATATAATTTTGTGGTCAGCCTCCCTCCTCAGCATTAGCCATTCTGCGGTCCCAGGCTTCCTCTGCACCCGAGGAGCTTCCTAACTGCTCACAGTCAAGTCCCAGCCATCAGTGAGGTGGACCGTGCTTGTGCTTTGCCTCAGTTTCTCCTGGAGCCTCAGGGCCAGCAGCTCCCTGAATTCTTACAGTGACTGCCGTGAGCAACACTAAAGCCCCAAAAACCCTTTCTGTCAAATTTAGGGTCAAACTTAAGGACCCTAATATTTGGTATAAATAGACTACCAAGCATAATTCAAAATGCACCAACAGCAGAAGAGAAGCCAGATGA